AGACGCACTGGGAAGCGTTGTTCACGGCATTGGACTGCAGCGAAAAATGATTCCCCCATCATTAATGGAACAGGCCCACGTCATGCTTGGCTGATTAGTTTTGATTTACATTTCGCAAGTCTAGTGCCATTCGCAGCAAAAGTCCGTTTTCTAGTGTTGTTGTCAAATACATTTCAAACCAGGCTGGTTTTTGATTTACGTTTTGGAATAGAATTTGGAGAGGGCATTTGATCAAGTCAGACCTACGTTTTGAATTTGAATTACATTTTAAAGAAATTAGAACTACATTTTGAAAAATTAGAACTTCATTTTGGGAAACCAGATCTACATTTTGGAAAATTTACGCCTACGTTTTGATAAATTTAGACATTGAATTTTGCAATTACATTTTGATTTTAACATGGACTTTTGCTGCGTATGGCACCCCATACATTCCCGGCAAAATTTCAGTTTTTAAGAAAAATCTAATTTTTGTATAATGTTATAAAGATTTATAAATATAATACGGAATTGCTAGTTTAACTAAATTTAGACATTCCTAAGAATGAAAAAAATGTAAAATAAGAATGAAATTTGAATTTTTGTGTTCCACACAAAAAATAAATGCGGATGAATTTTTCATTTTGATTTTGCGATAGGTCGTGGGAAGAAATATCGTAGACGCCGAAAACATTAGCCTATCCAGCGCTGCTAGGCTAGGCCTAGCCTTACCTCGATTTAGGTTGTTATCACACATAAAAACGGCCGACATGATATTTTCCGTTGCTAGTATTGACACTTGTGAAATATAATATTTCATAGGAATTATTTCAAATTTGTTAAAAAACTGATGCTGACTGAGATTTTGACAAACATATCTCAGCCTTAATCGAACGACCGCATTGTGCGAGATACGAAGTACAAAAACTAATCTCATTAGAGAGGGCGCACTTTATTGACTGTATAAAAGTATACATAAAAGCGAGAGTATTCCAGTGGATGCGATCTACAACCCCCGAATTTGCCTAGTAACGATGAATTCGTCCAGAAAATGGTAATATTTTACGAGAAATAGTCTTTATTTCTCTTTTTTTTTATTCTTT